TTACTTCTCCTGAGTAAACCTATTATATAAGGTCTAATAAATTATATATAAATATCTGCTAAGGTTAAGATAATTAAGAAAAAATAAGCCTAATATCTAATATGCTTTTTCCTATATTTTATAATTAGCTTAGTACTATTTTAGGTCTTATTTCCTTATAAATATATATATATTTGGAATTTATAATTAATACTTTAAAGTAATACTCTTTAATTAGTTTTTATATAATTTAAAAATTAGGCTACTAAATTTAATACTTTTATAATACTTAAATTTACCCAAGTTTATAAAGTCTTATAATTATTAGGGCCTTTATAATTCTTTACCTTTTGAGTTTAATACCTAAATAGTATTATATACTCTGCCTTTAGTATAAAGGAGGCTCCTAAAAGTCTAGGATTATAAAGAGATTTTTATATTAAGGATATATTAAGGATATATTATATTATAATAATAAAATTATAGGTATTTATATATAAATATATAATATATTAAACTAGCTATACTAAAAACCATACTATATCTATATATAAAGTTACTAATTACTTTATATTAATACCAGACCTATATAGTTATATAACTTTATATAATTAGCTAGCTATAGAAAAGCCCCAAAGCCCGAAACTTATAAAGAGTCTCAAGGGCTTTAGGGCTTCCGGATTATTACTAGTATCCGGTACTCTTTAGGAAAAGAATATAATATATTCTATAATAGGTAACCTATTATAAACTACTTAACCTTTAAGTTAAGCAGGAAATCTAAGAGCCAGGCTCGTAATTTAAGTCTTATTAAGGTTATTAAAGTCTTTACTAGCTAGTACTATAAATTTAATAAAAATATTATAGAAATCCTATAAGTTCTATTCTAATCTATCTAGAAAATATATATAATATATCTCCTTATTTATTCCAATATTTATATATAATTCCTAAGAACTAAACTATTACCTAAGAAAGAAATAAGAAGGCTAGACTAATATCTTTAAAAACTAAGGCCTTAATAAGTCTATCTAGAAAAGCTTACTAATTCTTCCAAAAATAATCTAAGAAAAGTTTGAGTTTATTATATATTATAACTCATATAACCAGAGATAGAAACTACTCTAATAAGCCAGAAAGAGTTTCTTATATAGCTTACTCATATAACTAGGGACAGGGACTTGAGTTTATTATATAAAATTACCCATATATAGAGACTCCTGCTATAAACTCCTTATTTAGATTAATTAGTTAAACCTATTTTTAATACTAAGTCTTTATTAAGATAACTTCCTACTCCCAGAGGCTTTAGACAAAATAGCTAATAAGTTTCTTAGCCATTAGCCAAGACTTATTAGCTAGAAAATCTATAAGTAATAAATAAGATTATAAAGCAGAACTCCCCTAACTATAATACCAAGACATTTTACTATAGTATAAAATAATTAGATATAGAAGCCCTATTAAATATAATATATCTCGAACTATAAGTTTATAAGATAAGTATAGGGAGTTTTAGTACTTAACTAGTACTATAGTCTAGCCCAAAAACACCTGCTATCCTTTATACCTAATTTAATAGGAATAAGAAGTACCTATACTTTAACTCAAAGAATAATTAGGACTTTTATATAGACTTAGAGCAGTGGTTTACTTTATAGAGAAAGAATAGACCAGAAATATCTATACTATATTAATTTTTAGAAAGAGTTATAGTAAATACTATAATTCCTGGAATACTTTTAAGAAAGCTTCCCTAAACCAAAATAGGCTAGTTTATAATCCCAAAAGATTTATAGGAGTCTTATATATCCGAGAATACAAGTACTTAAGATAAATACTATTTGAGTCCTAATCTATAATAAAAGAAAAGTAAAATATATAAAATAAAATATATAAAGTAAAAGTAAAACAAAATACCCGAATATTTAATAAATAGAAAGCCCAATTATAGGTTATAAGAACTAGTACTAACTAGATATATATATAGTAATATTAAAAAAAAGGTAAGGCAAGGGAAACTAAAAAGTAAGTTAGTATATATTTCATAAAAGTAAACGAGAAAATATCTAAATAGCCCGAAAGTAAGAAATATATATTAAAAAAGTCGAGATTAGAGAGAGAAAGGCTATTTCCTATAAAAATAAGTTAGTATATATTCTAAGATAAAGAATTAGGGTATTTAGTAATAGCCTAAAGGCTTTTATAAGTATTAAAAGAAAAGAAGAGGTATTAAAGTTCGGAGAAATCTAAATAGGAATTAGTTTCTTTTTTGGAAGTTTAAGAGAAAATACTCCCAAAGGGCCCAAAGACATAAGAGATATCAGAAAAGGGAAGAAGAAAATATTAGAGAAAGAGAAAAGGGATCTAAAATTTAGCTTTCTAAGGAGCAAATAGGTTAAAGACTTATAGTATGGGAATTCTAAATAAAAGTAACCCGGAAATAGTAGTTAGGTACTAGCTTTTAGTATTATTAGTAGAAGTATTAAAGGAAGAGGGGTTTAGAGGAGGAATTTAGAGAGATTTAGAGAAAAAGAGAAAGGTTATAAGGCAGTTAGATACCAGCTCTTGGTATTAATAGAAAAAGTATTAAAGAAGAAAGGGTTTAGAAGAAGGGTTCGGAAAAAGGGTAAGGAAAAAGGATAAGGAGAAATAAGGAAAAAGAAAAAAAAATTATAAAATAATTAGATACTAGTTCTTGGTATTAATAGAAATATTAATAAAGATATTAATAAAGATATTAATAGAGAAGGTATTAGTAGAGGGCAGAAGCTCTTAGTATTAATAATAAAATCAAAAAAATATAAAAGAAGAATAGAAGTTTTAGAGTAAAGATAAAATAAAATTATAGTTTTATAGAAAATAAAGTTACTAGTATAGGGTAATTATATTATTATATAATTCCATATTTACTTTTACTATTTATTAAGAATATATATCTCTTAGGAAAAAGTATTACTTAGAATTCTTAAGTCTTTCTAATTTAATAATTATATATTTAAAAAATAAGAAATAAATATAATTATATATACTAGAATAAGGGAATTCTTCTTATCCAAAAATTATAATTATAGTATTACTAAATATAGAGATATAGAAATTTATATAATAAGCTATATATAGAGATTTAAGAAGATTTAAATTACCTCAAATTATTTATAATTAGTAAAGTAAATTAGCTAACTATATAGGTCAAATATAGTTTAATTATTATTAGTATATTTTAGCTTTTATAAGTTAGTAAAAGAAAGAATATTTATATTTTTATTTTTATAACTATAATACCTAAAATTATAATTTTTTTAATATTTAAATATACTTAACCTAGGGCTATTAAATACTAATATTTCCATTTTTAGGTATTATTTATTATAAATTTATTCGGATTTAAATAATTATATTAAATATATATCTTTATATCCTAAAAATAAATAATAAAAACATAGCTATACTAGCTTTAATCTTAGCCTTAACCTTAACCTTAATCTCTTTCCGAAAATAACTTTAATTCTAATATATAATACTATTATTAAAGCTCTTTTTTATTAAAGATATATTAAATATGGCTTTAGGTAGCGGCTCTAGTAAAGGCAAAAGTAATAAAAAAGGCAATAAAGCTATAAATAAGCAAAAAGATAATATTTATAATATATCCTTTAATAATCCAGATTTAGTTTATAATATTCTTTCTTATTAATATATTTAACTAATAAACCCCTCTATTCCTTGACTTCCTCCTTATATATGACCTCTTCCTCCTCCTCTATAATAATACTTTAATCTTCTTATACTATCCAATAATACTACTAAAGTAGTAAAGCAAATTAATAATAAGACTAAAGTTAGAGAGATAAAGCTATACTAGGGCAAGAAGCTAAAGGAATTAGAGAAAAGTAAGGCAAATCTAGAGATAAGCTTAGTATATACTTATAGAACCGAATTCTCTTAAGCTTATACTATTTATAGTAATAAGAAGAGACCAAGGGGCCCTTTTAAATACTATATAGTTATAGAAAGCGAATTTAATAGTACTTATATAAATTACAAATATAATAATAATAATAAAGTCTATATTTTCTATTAACTTAATACTAATCCTACTAAGTCTGGAAAGCCTTACTCCATATCTGCAAAACCCTTTATACTAAAGCCTCAATTACCTATAAGATATAGAAAGCAAGTATAAAAACAGATATAAGGTCAGAAGGTAATAGGGAAGGAGGTTATAGTAGAGGAGGGTAAGGATACTAGAAGAGAAGGGAACGAAAGAGATATAGATAATTCAAGTAATATAGATAGTACAGAGGATATAGAGAGTAAGGGAGATAGAGATATACCTCGTAATCTATAGAATTTGCCTTACGGACCATATAAGCTAAGAGGGGGTTAGGAGTAGTCGAGAATAAGGCGTATATACTATACTTTTTTTTTTTTAGTAAGGTATGGGGGGGTGGGCGCGAAAATCAGAAAATCAGAAAATCAGAAAATCACTTTTCGCTTCTCGGATTTGTCCGCTAGCCCGCTAATGGCCTCAGTAGGGGCGCTGCTCTTGAGTCCAACCTCTGCGGGGCGCCAGTGCGAAAATCAGAAAATCAGAAAATCACTTTTCGCTTCTCGGATTTGTCCGCTAGCTAGCTGTGGGCCTCAGTACCCCGCACTAGCTCCAACTCAACATTGACAACCACCCTTTCCTCTCCTACCACAACTTGCGATTTCCCAAAGCTACCATACACACCGCACACCCGCAAACGATCCATCGCCATCACATACTCCGCTCTGATGCTCATAACGTGCATCCAGGTAGAATTCTTCTACTTGCTTCGCCGCTTTGGGACGTCCGTCGGTCTCGGTATCGTCCTCAGTGCCTACTGCCCTCCTTCTGGGGGTTTCGATCCTCGCAATGCTTCTCAGAACATGGCAGCTTGCACGCAGAGGCTCTAATGTAACTCCAGTTAGTAGGAAGTAGCATTTCGTACGTCCCTCAAATCCCCTGTCCCGCCGAGAGTTCTCACATTTGATAGTTCGATTTCTTCAACTGGAACATGATAAATCGGATTCATCATCTTGACAGCGGTCATCTCTCCCGCCACTGCAAAAGATCCTCAGAATATCCGCCAAGCTGCGATGCCGTTGATGGGGGAGGTGGTCAGGAGTTTAGAGAGGCGCTCTTGGCGAGGCATGAGAGGAGAGAAGTATTTGGGGGATTGGTGGAGCAGATGAATTGATTAGTTTTGGGGTTTGGGAGTATGGGTGTGCTGGGTGGAGTGGCAGTCATTGATTTATGCGGTTAAGAATAAAGATTTGGTGTTCGCACATGGTAGGTGTATTCTTGTTCCGGTGAAGGGAGTATGCAGACCAAAGCCACGTTGGGGTCTTCCATGGGTTTTGGCTGACATTAGCAGGATCTGCACGGTGCTGTAGACGGAGAGGATGTTGAAGCTGGAGAGAAATCTCTGGGGCGCTTTGCAGGTAAAAAGGCTCATTCTGTGGTTCGTAGATGTATTAAACGCGGACTTCCTCGCCCTGTTTCATCACTCTCTCAAGTGGCCTTGCTCCTATTTTCTGTGCTCAAGAGCGATCATTACGAGTATTGCAATATTTACCTATTCTTTACATGGGTGGTTGTCTTCGAGGTGTATTTTTCATTACCAGTAGCTGTCGCAGCCTCTGATTACCGTGGTCAATAGTTTGCAAGGGGTACCCCCCTTTTTGAACAAGGCCGGATTTCTAAACCAGTTCAGGAATGCCTTAATATACAATATTGAATTTTGAGAAGCTCTCTACGCATTTTGAGACCTCCATAGTGCTTTGCCTTAAAAGAGAAGAAATTTTGCCTCCAGGAAAGTTTATGCCAGCTTCCAGCTCTGCTTTCCCTCTGTCGAAGCTACCCCTTCGACACTTCAAAGGCACGATCGCCCCACATTCTGGAATCAAATATCATTCAGACAAAGAAGTCTTCAAGTAATTCAAAGCGGGCTTTCGACTATCTTTTCTGCTTCAGCTTTTGTTGATCATTCAGAGCTTTGAAGTGTCGTGGCTGCAGATTCCAAGCGAGCGGCAACAGAACTTCTCAGCTTGCTGCTTCGCCTTATCTCCTCTACCAGCCCTCGAATAACACTCTACTTGGCGTTCCCCCGCAATATTAAAGCTTTATATAGTGGTTTGTAGAGCATAGCATAGCTTGAAATCATGTCCCTTATATCCTGGAGCCTGTCAATAGTAGTTCTGACGCTCCATTGTCCTGCTCGGGGGCCAAAACCGTGTGAATCTAGAAAAGCGGGCCCATTGTTGCCGCATGGCAGCAAAGTGTTTCTGTCCCCGCAGAAAATAGTATATCCCACGGATCTGAATTTCTAAAAAATTCTTTTCTTTCTTTACCAACCACGATTGCGAGACCTGTTTGTGAAATTTCATCCCAACCACGCACTTTCAGCACTAATCAGATGAGAATAGACTTCATTCAAGCTCATTAATCTCTCGTCTCAGCAATCCTGTATGTTCCTTTCATCTCCCCCTTTTCTTTGTGTGATGATTTGGGCCTTTGGACGGTAGCAAACTGACAGAAAGATCTGACAAGACCATATGGCTCCATCAAAGTAAGTACTCTGCCCCCATCTGACCTTCAGACGAAAAATAACTGACATCTATACCTAGGAAAGAGTAAGCAGCCCATAGGTCGAGCCCACGACTGGAGTCTTCAAGCTTCAGGGGTTCGAAATGCTAATTATAGCCTCTTTTACAGCAATATGTCCGCCGCCGAACAGGCAGAGTATGTCCTAATGTGCTCATTGATTTACGACGAAAGCTAATATATTTGATAGATATAATACGTATGAAACACTTAATCGTCTGATTTTTTGGAAGAACGAGCTGATATCAGATGAAAGTCGTCGAAGCAAGGCCTCGGCCGTCAACAAGGCGCGTCGAGATGTAGGTGACCTCGTTGGTTACGACCAGGTCCCAGATGCCGTCCGAGACCAGATGGATGCTGCTCTCGTTGCAGCCATCGAGCCGTATTAGTATGTGACAATAGCTTTCTTTGGATGTTGATAGTTGAAGAGTGAAGCACGTGACTCACCCCTTTGTAGCACCACCACCTCCTCCTCCCGAGTCGAGGGAGCTCGCACTGCGGGCATCAAAGCCGCTGCTGCGGTTGCCGGTCGTAAGTTGAGGTTTCCAGATTCACCCCTTGGAGGCCCGGCTAGTTCTCATCTAACTGCGTTGAAGTTGACCCCAACCAGCGCGTGTCTCGTCCCTCCTCTGCTGGTAAGTCATTTCGACCAATGCTTATTTGAAGCTTCTCACGATGGCGGGGTCTGGTTTCTTTCGTTCGAAGTTTCCCTTTCGTCTCAAGCTGCGGGTTACAAAACAAGCCGAAGTCTTCGGTACTGACATTCTTAGGCCTCGGCGCTGCTCCCGTTGCAGCTGGTCCCTGTAAGTTTTGTCTCTTGTTTCTCTCTTCGATCGATTTTCCTCTTTAAAAATGGCTACGTATGCTAATCGATGATTCCTTCTAGCCTCCGTCGTTCCTCCTCCTCCTCCTCCTCCTCCTCCTCCGGCTGGACCCGGTAAGTTTTTGGTTCCTTTCATCTTCACAACCTTCCTATGAATGGGAGTCGGGTCTTTTGCCTTGCTTCCAATTATCAGACAAAACCGTCAATTCGAATATCATCTGACATTTGATAGCCCCACTCGCCGCCGCACCACCACCACCTCCTCCCACCGGTCCCGTCGGTAAATCATCCCAAGTCCCCCCTTTTCGCCCAATGTGTTCTAATAATAGTGATAGTCGATGTTCCACGTTCTGGCGAAGGTCTCGTCCGAGCCTTCAATATTGCCAGCGGTCCGGGCGGAAACTGGGAAGGATTCGTCGCAGCTTTTGCTACTCATTTTCCTCCGAACACCGACCGCTTCCTGGTCATCCTCCAGCTTCGCGCTGCTTTGGGCTTATTGCCACACCAAACCAGATAATAACTAGATTGTTTAGATAGTTTTCGTTCGGCTTCGGCCTCCTCATCCGAATGAAAAGTTGATTTCGTCATATTGGCTTCAGATGGTAAGTCAACCCTCCTTCCTTAGCGTTGGCTAACATAACATGAGATGAATAGATCCATGAAAATTGGCTTCGTGACGTGATCCTGATTCTGAATGACGTAATATCCGTTCAGACTTCTGTTCAAAGAGATAAGTTTCCCAGCAAGATATCCCAAAGCTCTCGCTAAGGGATCTCTCTGGGTTGCTCTAGGAGATGACATTCGGCAAGACGACGCCTCGAAGTTATTTTCCACTTCCAATAATCGAGCTCCAATGCCTGGTGAAACGATATACAATGACCCAGGGAAGAGGAAGGGAACTTGGACGATCTCGCGAATTGGTATGAAGTCTTGGAGCAAGAATTGGGTACAAGGATAAAAAGAAGACTGGACGGCAGTGTCAGAAATGTGGACAATCTGATGGCCGATGATTCGACGAAGATGAGTGTTGTACTTTTAGGGTATTTTGAAGCGGACTAAAGCAGGGTGGAGGGAGGCTTGGAATCTCGGAAACTGCGTGTTTGGATACTTGTGAATCGTAGGATATCGAAAGAGAATTCGCCTTGAAGTTGGTGTGGGAATTTGTAGTTAACGGCTGCTGAAGGCTGGTTAACCGGGTACCGAGTTTTTGGTGGTGTGTTTGAAGCGGTGGGAGACAATTGCAGTGACGATTGTGTCTGATTGAAATACAAATTTCTGGGACATCTTTCGATCGGAATGCTTCATATATGGACTTTTCTACAACCAAATGGAGAGAATTGATGCCACGATGAGAGATCTGACCTAGATGGACTTCACTACGGTATCCTAGGCTTCAAACTTACGAATGACTTGAATATGAATCCATGAAGTTCGAGAAGTCGTTCGATAGCTCAGATCCAAAGAAACTCTGCGTGGCGTCCAGCTTAAGGTTCATCGATGAAAGATTTCTACATTTAGTTAGATTTAAAATGGAAGCACAACTGTCAGGTAATACCCACTGATCTGTCTCGTTCAGTCCCACGTCAAACCATGGGCCCTGGATAGGAAGCAACGCAAAACCACTCGGGCTTTATCCAAAGCTCGAGCCTTCCGAATTCGCATCGATAATCGCACTCCCCATATTACCAGGCGAGAGTTCTTTTGCTGATTGTGCTACACGTCTCGCTGCAGCGACAACTTCCTCACTCTTCTTTCTCTTCTTCCCCACAGCAAGAGCTGTTGTGAATAATCGATGAACAACTGCGGCAACAGGATAACTGTCCTCCAAAGGTTTGAGGAACAGAAGGCTAAAGCCCAAGTTATGTCTCCCTAGCTTCACCTTGTGCCTCCCTCTCGAACCATCATCAAATTGGTAAACATAGCCGACACAAGCAGAGGAGAGGCACTACCGTCAGAGCCGAATACACTGAAGTCCCGTCGGCCATTTACCGCATTTGTTGCGTCTTGAACTTTGGTGACTTCCTGTCGGTGTCGGGGCGAAACAGCGCTATCTGTGCAGCTAAGATGTGGAGCTGGAGATGGCGGGTTGCGACTGTGAAGGGCATGTTACTTGTGATGGAAGTCGAGGTTGAGTTCAGGCGTCCTTCGAATCGAGGAGCAAGCTCATTCTTCAGGGCCTCGATCTGAGAAGGCGGTACGTTGCCACGATATCGAACCCTCAAAACTTTGTGCAGTCCTTCACTGACCCTAAGAAGCCCTAGCTAAAGATTGGCGAACTCGACCGAATTCTTTGTAGAAACATCCTTCCCGCTGAGCACTACATTCCGGAAATTTACTTAGGAATCTGCAATTATCGGCATCGGGCAGTCACAATCCTCGGTGTTAATCCTCACTGGCCTTCCCATGCCAAAAGCAAGCCAAGCATCTCTCAGGAAACAGCTCCACCAAAGGTCCCTCCACAGCCTTCTCTGCCTCTCACTAATCGCCTCATCCCTTCTCTTCCCTTTCCCATCCAGGTTTCGATCAAGGCCAATGGTCTGCGCGATGTTGGCGGCGATGCCAGGCCAATACCAACTTTGCTTTGCGCCCTCTGCGTCCTGTGACCAGAAACCGAGGAGGAGGGGATGATTGAATGAGGATTATCTTGTCGTTCTCGCTGCTGAGATCAAAGAGAAGTTTTTCTCGCTTGACGATGTCTTCCTTGAACTCTTTGTGGGTCTTGTACTCCGCTCTATTGAGCAGAGGTTCTGAAATGTAACTTGCAGAGACAGAAAACATGGGCCATAGGAGAAGTAGGCTGATTTGTTGAACACAGTTCTTTTTATATCTCCTCAGAAATTACTGGGCATTGGTGGTCTGGAAAAGTGGATGAAAGAACTTGAAGTACTGTAGGCCTCCACGAGTGTAGTGCAAATTTCTTTCTCGGCCTATGAGATGAAATGAGCTTCCAGTTCAATATTCAACCAATGCGGTTCGTACAACCTACGCGTACGCTTTCCTTGTCCTGGCTTCACACGTCTCGCCATTCTCTGAGCACTTCATGCATGGTGATCCCGCAGAGTGCAAGTCGTATTTGATCTTCCGTTGATGACAGTTCTGACATTACCTCCTCAGCTTGTCTCCTTCACTCTGGCGGCATTTCTAATTCCTTGCCTAGAAAGAGCAGTCATGAGTATCGACCAAACAGCACTGATATCGTCGACTTGAAATGGTGAGTAATGAGATGTATACGTTTTTTGATGTGAAATAAGAAGCGGAACCCTCAGCTGATGGTGACGCCGACGCTTCTTGGCACGCTAGAACTGCCAGCTACGAAGATAGTCACATATACAAAATAATTCAAACCACTGGAAAAGTCGTATAAATAGCATAAAAATGTCGAGTATAGGGAAAGGAGGTCACCAGTGTCAAAATTAGCAAGGTCGCCCACACAGTGAAAAAAGTCGCCTATACAAGATCGTTGCTCACCGAGAAGATCAAAAAACAAAAGAGTCCCGTCCCTCCCAAAGCTCGCATAAATGGCTTGAAGTTATCAGTTACAATATAAGGGAGTCATCTATATAAAAATTCTCAAGGTTGCCCATACAAAATGGTAGCACATGCAACTCGCGCGGAGCTTGACTTGAACAATGCATTATATTACTTGGAGCTCATCTAACCAATCTCATATATCCTGTCGATCATGAGATGTCCGCCCAAAGCCCCATCCATTCCATTCCCACCCAAGTCCGAGATCCAACCGACCTTGCATCCTCCCATAATTAACATATCCCCACCCCCGTCATATAGACATAGCAAACCACCTCCTCGACTCAAAGTCAAATCAGCTGATTCTCCACAAACGCCATCTTCGGGAACCTCTCTCCTCCCCCCTGAACATTCACACTCAGCGCCGGACTAACAACCTCCATGATCGTCTCGCCCGCCAACCCACCACCCCCAATACTGCCCGGCCCTAACCTCAACGGCGGCGGCGGCGGCTTCCTCCCCTTCTCAAACTGCTGGTTACCACTCCCCGGAATCAAGAGCCCTGAGCTGCGAAGATTAATCGCATTCGCCTGCGCCGCGACACTCTGTCTCTGCGCCATGATACTCTGTCTATAATACGCATCATAGAATTCTCCAATACTGCCCTGGCTCGCTTCACTCGCGCTTCTATTCCTGCCACTAAACCCCGCAAGGGAGAAGCGATCGGGCCCTGGGGCAAGGTTGAAGATGTTTAAGGTTGGCACTTGCGGGATCGGATCTTCTTGGATTTCGTGGGAGGGTTGCGGGGCTTTGAGTTTTAGGGACGAGGACGAGGAGGTGCTGGAGATGGAGGAGGTGGCCGAGTGCGTGGAGATCGCGTTTGCGTTTGAGAAGGGCGATTCGCGTGGGTGGTCGAAGTCGATGGTTCGGCCTTGGATGGAACCTGCTCGTGTGCGAAGCGCCTGCGTGGGGTCGAAGTGGAGCTGGTCTCGCTGTCGGCTTCGTCGTTTGTCGGAGCGGAGCGTGTCCGTGGATTGCTTTCTGCTATGGCGGCGGAGAGAGTCCTGTGTTCGGGAGAGGGAGTGTGCGGAGGAGGAGCGTTTGTGGGAGGAGCGGCTGCGGTCTCGGCCGGCTGTGTCACGAGATGATGATCGGGTGTGGGATTTGGGGAGGTCGTCTTGGGGTTCGTCGACGATTGAGGTGCGGGTGCTGTATATGCTTGAGGCTGCTACGCTATGTGGTCGATTTCGGGGTTTCGCGGCACTTTGTGGTTCTCCAACTGCGTGGGCAGGACGATAGACAGAGACACGCTGCTTGCTGACGATAGAATCCCGAATGATTGGCGATCCAGGGTTCCATTTCCTGGTGTCCTGGGGAAACTGGTTGGGGTTGATTGTCGCCATTTGAGGAGGAAGATTATCTAACGGCACTGGGGGAACTTGAAAGTCGAACTTGCTCTCCGTGGGACTTCGTCGAGAGGGCGGTCTTTGTGGGTCATCATTTGCTGGGAAGATGGATCTTCCCGATTGCCTTGCAGCCCTGGATGGCATTTGAGGAAATATAGTGAAAGTTGGAGACTGTTTGCGCGGAGATTCGGGAGCCGCAGGGGCTGGAGCTGGAGCTGGAGCTGGAACCGAAACCTCACTGCTGATGATGGAAGCCTGTTCTGATTTTGGTCCAGCGACAGACCCATCAGGTGTTGGTACGAGTAAGGCACTTTTGATAATATCATCTGGAAAGTCCATCTTCGGCAGGTATGATGTTGGTCTGGATGATGATACTGGGGTGGACGGCCTCGTGAAATGAACGTCGAGTGGATTGACCCATCCGTCTGGTTTCCCCGAGTCGGAACAAGGTGTCACGCTTCTGTTAAAGCGTGGTGAGGGCAATGGTGGCAGGTAAGCTCCACCCATTCCTCCAACGCTTGCAGGATCATGATTCCTTCTCCCACTCAACTCGGCATCTGAAGGCTGTAATCGTAGAGGCGAAGGTTTGTGTTTCTGTAGATTGATGCTCATCGGGAGTGAAGAAACACTCCCATTCCGGCTCGAAGGATAATCCACGAGACTGCTTGAGGAGGATCCAGGCTTCGGTGCCTTGCTCCAATCTACCAACGCCGTATTTGGTGCTAATCTGTACGAAGGCGTAGGAGAGCTGGGTCTCGACTGCGCAACACCACCGAAATAGCCATGCTCAAGTGCTCTCACGCCAAACAAATCTCCCTCTCCAAGCTTCTTCTCTCGGCGAACTAATTTTTCCTTATCTGTTGATTTCATCGCAGCCTCCATTTCAGCAATTTTCGTATTCTTCTCCAGCCTAGAAAGCATTCAGCGAAATCCTACCGCAATCCACGAATGACCAACCGTTGTTTTTTTATACATAACTTGATGAGCCCAGCTATAAATGCAAGCCCAACCAGACATCCTAAAACAATCCTTTCGAATTTCAGCACCATACTCGACTGCACAAATGCTTCCAACTCACCCAAATATTGCCGCCGTTCCCATCGAACCGAAAGCCCCCATTATGAATTAAAATTATGCCGATTGATGCCGACACATGCAATGACGATATATATTCCGGGGCCTCGAGCCAGTCGGCAGCCCAGCGCAGCGTTGACAAACGAACGAAAGGTTTATGCAAGCCGCGACACCAGACGATCAAAAAGGACGATCAAAACTCAAATTGGGAAGTTTTGCCAATGTTATATTGTGAGCTGAGGGTGTTTCTAGTCCCGCACGGACGGTGTTCGTGCCCGCTGTCAGTGTCTGTGGTGCTTGTTTCGAATCGTCTGTACGGCGCCTGTACAACCGTTTGATGTTTCGCTACAGAGGAACTTCGTGAATCGTAACCTGTTGCGTCTTGCAGATACAGATTGGGCTCAGAGTAGGCCCCTTTGGTCGCGTTTCAACTGGATCGGACCACGTTCGAGACCGGAAAATCTGAAGTGTTGCAGGGATGGTCGTGATAGCGGGGGTTTGTGCTGAAGAGGTGCCAACATGAAAGACAGGACGTATCAGAAAAGATACAAGGTAATGAGCGACGTTCGCAAGGCAGATTAACAGCGACGGCGAGGTGAAAGGAATGAGGGAAGATAGATCATGATCTGGATATTGAAATGGCTAGCTCCGCCTTGGGGTCAAAGAAAGTGCTCGCCGTTTCCAGACCTAAACGTTGGCGCATGTGGCATCTGGACGAGGGCGTCCGCTCTGGCAGCCGTTTGCTTGAACATGTGGTGAACAGACAAGACTTCCATCCTGAATTGGGAATCAATCCGCACTTGAGGCGTTATATTTAGTGGTGATGACCGCCACCCTCGCGGAACAACATAACGCGGAGGCGCTAAAGGAAGACACCAGAGAGAAAAGAGAAAGAAGCCGCCCCTCTGATCGGAGGATCATCCCTTGTCTCAGATGAGTTAACTCCCAATCCGGACGCGATGTGTGCTGGACCGTTGGTCGGCCCGGGGCTGGGTGAGGATCGTGTGTTGCTGCAGATCCACCAACGCGTCGAGGTAGCATCGCGTGATATGCAACTCTGCTATCACGCGCAGAAGCACCACGAAAAACGGTAACCTCATCTGCAGCTGCTGATCAAAGAGGGACACAGCATCTCAGAACTGTAGGAGGACTTCCTTCTGTTTCCTGCTCCCGAACGGGGTAACTTTCCCATGCTCTCATTCGAAGGATTTCAGCGGCGCGTTGGAGGTGGTCACTGGTTGTCACTGGCCAATTCTCTGAGGTAAGTAGTTTCAAGCGAGGGGTGCTGATACGGTGCCTCCAGAGCGCTAAAACCAATATCTTCAGGAACAGGCTTAGCGCCAATGCACCTGCGATTTGTGCGTCCAAGCTTTCTCTCGTATTTGTGACCCCCTGACCAGATCTTCGGGAGGACATTTAACCGCGGAGAGGGGTTCGACTTCAAACCCTTGGTTCAAAGGCAAAACCTTAAAATACCAGTGTATCCATAAGGCCATGATGTTTAGCTTCCCCATTGGCTTTAGTATCTTGAGATCACATAAGGACGTCTTTCCTGAAAAGCCTGTTGACTCCTGGAAAATGCAGCTTGTCTTGGCTGGTGCCAAGGCATCATTTGCACCAATTTCATATTTCTCCGATGTGAAAGTGGATGTCATTCCCCCTTATGCAAGCCATGAAACTATCTTCAGCTCGATTCATCGGATTTTGGCGCAGAGGTACTCGAGCTCCCGCTTAAATGCACGCCCCGCTTAAATGCACGGCCGAATTGCATAGAAAATCGCGAAAACTTATACTTTTAATACCTTTATAACTTTTATATTAATTAATAAAAAAACTTACTTCTTGAAATATAATATATAAAAATAGTAAGAGCAATATAATATAATCCTAAAAATTATAATATCGTAAATATAAGTACTTTATTTTAAAGATTTATAAAAGATATAATTTTTTTCTTGAAAAAATATTTTTAAAAAATAATTTATATAAGAATAAAATATCTAAAAATATAACTTCAATTTTTTTTAGTTTTATATATTAATATATATAATTATTTATAAAAGATTTATATTTTATATATTATTAAGTAATTGAAATTTTAATTTTTTTAATTTTTAAAAAATTATAAAAAAATTATTAATAATAATAGTTTTAAATAAAAGCTATTAATTAAACTTAAATAGGGTAGCTTATATTACTTATATAAAGTTTAAAAAACTTAAAAATATTTTTATTTAATTTTTAACCTTTTATATATTAAAATATTATAGTTTTTTTTAATAATTTTTAAATTAAATAAGTATTTATTAATAATTTTTAATAATATAAGTTTCTTATAAGGCAAGAACTATATTTAAAAGTTAATATTTGTTTTATTTTTAATTAATATATAACAATTTAAATAATAAATTTAAATTATATATATAATAAGTATTTTTTATACTTTTAAGTTCTTGAACTCCTTTTATAATTATAGTAAGAAAATTTAATTAAAAGATTTCCTTTAAATTAAATTATTCTAAATTATATTAAAAAATAAAAATAAATCTTAAATTTTGAAAATTTTGAAACTTTAAAATTATATTTCTTCTTTCAAAAGGCATTTAAAGATTATATTTAAGCTATGAAATTTAATATAAATTATTTTAAGAATAATTATATAAAGATTTTATAAGATTTATAATTATTATAAAAGTTATTAATTCTTTTAATAAATTACTTATTTCTCAAAAAAGTATAAATATTATTAATAAAATTATAAAATTATTACAAAATTAATATAAAGTACAAAAATAGAGTACCTAGTAATTCTATAATAACTTACTTTCTATAAATATAATTTGTGGTTATTTTATAATTAAATATTTTAGTTTTCTGGTTAGGCGTGCATTTAAGCGGGCCGTGCATTTAAGCGGGAGCTCGAGTAATATCTGACCAAGCCAAGCCGCCGGTAGTGTATTCAATGTTCTGGAACGTTTCTTTTGATGTCAACGTGGGCACGAGACTCTGGGGAAAGTTTCCGAGAGCTTGGAGTTAGGTGTGACACGACTCACGAGTCAGTACAGAAACTATAGTGGATCTTAGATCTGTACAAGGTTGTTCAAATCTTGCGTTGGAATTTCACTCTGTTACCATCCGTTGTACGAGAGTCTGGGGAAGTTTCCAGAAGCTTGGAGTCGAGTCGTCTGCTCTGGGGTATCACATATCACGGATCAATAAAGACAGATAATCGGGTTGTGGCAATCCATTCTGGCGAATGGATACAATTGTGGAATCATTCTTGCCTGTAAAGTTCAGGTTCTGTAAACATATCGTTCCTCCTTCTCCATCTTATGTTGTAGTGCGGAACCATCACTTCAGTGCGGTGGGTTTGTCTACCGATGTTCCAACCCCATTATTAGAATCCTCCGCAGCCTGTTTAGCTTTCTTCAAACGCGAAGCAGCATCCCGAACCGGCACCATTCTTTGGTCAACCCACTCATGAATCTTCCCCATGGAATAGTTATCCACCCAAGCCACCATAATAGCCTCCCCATTTCCCCCAACCATCTGCTCACATATTGGCTTCACTTTCAGTTTCGCAATCTCCATAACTCTCTCAACAAAGGTCAAAAAGCCACCCAACCTAAGCAACGTCCAAGAATTTCCCCATCGATCTGTTGTCGGCCTAGTTTGCGTGTCCAGCATGTGCTTGAGACTATTGAGATGCTCCCAGGAAAGGCGAGAGTGGCCGTTCGCGGCGAGAACGGCAGCCATGAGCTCATACTCGGAGTCTGCCATACGGTATCGGTTAACGTCATTGAGGAACTCCTGGAGGAGGTAGATGGCTTCAAAGTGGCTGTACCTGGTCTTTTAGTCAGCTGGGAGTGAACTCTGAAGATAAATGCACAAGGGTGTGTGGGTCATTTAGAGAAGAAGTACCAGTACATACTCGAACAATCCTTTCCAACGCTGAACTTCTGCGCTATCGGTGCGTGGCGTTTGTGCGTTCGAGGCCATGCGAAGTAGCTCTTCGATGGCGATCCATTCGTCGGTGCTGTAAACACGCGAGGGCATAGTGAGATAGATATGATAGCAGCGATAGCTGCAGTCTAAGTCGATGTTTGGATTGTGGATGTTGTGATTTTTGATAATTGAGATGCTGTAGTGACGGGCCAAGGAACTTGGAATTGAAAGCGAGAGATGGGTGAGTGCATTGGGAGTTTTATTGGGGGATTAAGATGTGGAAGAAGGGAAGCTGCGAGTGTAGTTTATTGTTTTTTGCGTTGAAGGAAGGTGCCGTCAAGTTGGAGAGACTCTTTCGGCATTTTTGACCTTGCGTCACTGAGTGGTGGTGAATGCAAGAGCGACTCGAGTGGCGATTTCCCACATGAATCATTTGGGGGATAATCTTCTCGAGTCGCGGCGGCATTTTTCCATATTTCTTCTTGTCACCAAGGTGGCAATGCGACGAGATGTCTCGACTCAAGCGAGCATCAGCGGTTCACACACCTCGAGACCAGGATTCCAAGAAGCGATTGATTAGATATTTCTCGATCTCAGATTGAGAGGTAAGCTTTCTATATTTTTCTAGACTTTTGTGCCCATCTCATGAATGCAGAGGACGCAGATATACGTCTAAGAGCTAAGAGAAATGCGCCTGGCCATCTTGTTAATGTTACGACGTACGATGCAATGTTACCAAGGATCGACCAGACACTTCAACGCTCTCGGCATTTTTGACCCTTTTGCAATCAATAAAATCATGCTCCAGGGGGACTGTCAAGCTCAAAGGAAGTCCTGAGGATGAGTACAGGAGCCAGGTGTCCAAGAATTGCGTCGCAGCATCACGAAAAAGCCAAAACGGTCTCATGGTTCAATCCATTCTCAATGCAAGGAAGGCGAGAAAATGTTCTTTCATGAGTATCGTCATTAAAAATGCAAGAAACAGGACGAATATTGTCAAGATATGACGGACTATAAACAACCCGTGTTTGATAACGTTTATGGGTTTGATGATTGGATTTGGGCTGGCTTGAGATCATATCCATGGGTTGAATTTGGAAGTCTCGTGGAAAGGAAGCAGGGCTGTATTATTTGTGGTGCTCGTCCACGGAAAATAGGAAGCCGATTGGCCACAGAACTGGACCGCCAACGGCTCACACCAGATCCGGAATTATTGGCATGGCGCTCCCGGATTCTCTAGGGTGGACCATCTTTGGTCAATGCAATGCGGCGAAGCTTTGACTTTCTCGAGTTTTTGGGTGGTCTGCGAGTGAATTAGGGGAGGTGAAATGGAGATACACAACACGCAGCGACGTGGCGGAGTTTGGTTTACTGTAGATTAAACACGAAAGCTTGGAGATATCGGATTTGATTTGATTTGATTTGATAGTTATTTATGTCCGTGGGCGTGAGCCGACCTCCCGTGGGGTATGGGGACGTGCTAAGCATATAGGAATTACAAATAGAGTACTACTTGTAACAGGTATCAAAACCACAAGGGGAAAAAGACCCCCCATTACAAGTAATCCCGGGTCCCTAATCCCGCGGTATTACAGTGCCCCTATAGACCTTTGAAAGCATTTCAAGTTATGTAGTACTATTGCCAGCTCTCATTATAGGACTCTCTACGGCTGGTTAGGAGTCAGCCCTACGCTCGATACCAATTCTAATAGATTCCCGCCCGTCTACTCCCCTCCCGACTTGTACCCTCCCCAAGAAGATATAACGTAGTAGTACTCGCAGCCGGTATCCTCGGGTTATATCTGCAAGGTATCCTCTACTCGTTTGACCCGATCGATTAAGGACGAAGGACCTGTCGCAAGAGGCTATTGCGGGAGCCCGATCGTCTAACTTGAGCGTCTACCTCCCCTCCTCCCCCGAGTACTCAAATGCTATATCCCTTGTACCCTCGTAGTCGTCGTTTGGAAAGTAGCCAGTTGTAAAAGCGTAAAAAGGTTCGAGCTACGGGCAGAAGGCCACGTTACAGTGGCTATTTAACCTCGTAGTTGTGTCGATACAAGGAGGATAACGTATATAGCTTCGCAAGCTATAGCACCTTAACTAGTCACCTCGGTGACTGCGTCCACTCTTCAGCTAAGTCGAATACTTGTTAAAAGTGTCGACAGTTCGTAGCCAGCGCCCCGTACAGGCAGAGAGGTCCGTCTTCGCTGGCCTTGGAGATATCGGAGAATGAGCAAAAATTTGTTAAACTGCGAGCAATTATGGTACTCGTCACTGTGACAGCCGAAGCGCCGCATTGTGGCTTTCTACTCGTGGGCCGTGACTGAGATGCTAGCGGACGGAGCTTCTCTCCAAAATGAAACCTGGTAGCCTGGACTATGGGAAGATTAAGCTGAGGCGTGCTATTGATTCAAATCGAGGCAGGAAAAGGAGAATGTATCAGTTGCTGGACCGATCATTTCAAAGCCCTCGATCTAGAATTTACTAAGAACTTTCCTGATTCAGCGTTTACTAGTGAAACTTCATGCGATACAGCCTCAGTTGGTGGTACACCATCGGTCTCTGTGGTTGTGAAGGAGTTTCGGTTGTCGCATAAATAGGGGTAAGGTCGATATCACGTGAAAAGTCCAAGATTAAGACTAATCGTGCGTCGAGACTAGCACTAAAGCCCCTGCGTCCCTGCGGGTTTAGTGCGTATCAGCGATACGGTCAAAAATCAGCGATACGGTCATTTTTTTAGAATACCAATTTTCCTAATTTTAGTGAAAATCAGAGAAAAATATTTTACAGTTTATATAGAGTTCACACTGTATTTAATAAATCAAATTCTCTTACTTTCACATTGCATATACATATAGTAAAAAATGGTGGAAATATTACACACTTCACCTTACCACGAATTTATTAAAGTTCCCTTAATAAATAAAGTTCTTAAAATTATATCTAAATAGCTTCTAAAGATTATTATTAACTATTTTATAGAGAATATATTAAAATAGCTTAATCGTGCGTCGAGACTAGTACTAAAGCCCCTGCGTCCCTGCGGGTTTAGTGCGTATCAGCGATACGGTCAAAAATCAGCGATACGGTCATTTTTTTAGAATACCAATTTTCCTAATTTTAGTGAAAATCAGAGAAAAATATTTTACAGTTTATATGGAGTTCATACTATATTTAATAAATCAAATTCTCTTACTTTCACATTACATATGCATATAGTAAAAAATGGTGGAAATATTATACACTTCACCTCACCGGCGACCCCCCCCAAAATACTACTAACTTAGAAATCAATTAATTACAGAACAACCACATCCTAAATCGTATACCCAATAATAGTCTCCTCTCCACTAGCTTCCAATCTGACTATATGACCAAAGCCATTATCATAAAATGAAGGGGGAGGGGGTAGTAGTCTAACAAAACCAAGCTTCCTAGCAAGCATTTCTACCCGCATATCACCAAACTCACCAACCCATTTCTCCTAGTATCCGGGAGAAGCTAGCCTAAAATCTATCTTATTCGCATGAAAGAGCTCTATCTTGCAATCGATTTGCCTCTATTCCGCCCATTTTGCTATTAATTTTTGGTAGTAAGCCTTTAGACCAGTTTCACCATATTTAACAAATAGTGGTTTATCCCTATAGCCAAAAGGCTTCCCTAAATCGTACGGAGCTATTTCCCCCCGAGTACGTCTCCTGTATAGAAGCTTACCAGTAATATGCTTTGTAATATAGGTATTAGTCTCCCTGATTCGGCGATTTAGGTAGGTATTAGTATCTATCTCTTCAGGAGTAAAGAGAGACTCTCTGTAATATGCGATTTAATATATAGCCGAACCCTTGGATATAACTCCATACTTTTATACATACTTCCTGCCCTCCTTATCTAGCTTATTATACTATTCCTGGAGTACTGCCTTCTCCCTTGCAAGCTCTCTTTCCATAATTAGCCCAGCCTTAATTAGCTTAGGCTCAGTCAACTTCTAGTATACCCTCCAAGATCTCCAAAAACTTGGTATAAGAGCGTATTCCTCGTTATCCTTTACAAGAATAAAATAATCGTCCAAATATTAATATATATAGGTATTATATACCGTACGATTTGCAGAGGTAGGGGGGTTTTGGAAGGGTTTTAATAATGGAGGGGTTCGCAGGGATAGAGGCTCGATTTGCTTGTCTACTATAAAATTAGCCTATATTACTATATAAATTACTAATTAACAAACCTTCTTTTGGTTCGAATTAAGCTAGCTTCTCGTATGTATACCGTATTATATTAGGTCCTAATAGGCCCGCTTTGGTAAAGGCACTAATAATAGTCCTATACTTGAATATCCTCCTATAAACTATCTGGTATACCCCTAGAAAATCAAGCTTGGTATAAATAATATTACTATACTAAATCTTATCATAAATACTGATTTAATACTAGTACTTGAGAGGTTGAAAGAGGCCAATATCGAGCGGTTAAAGGAGATGTGTACTATATGGTAGTAGTTAAAAGGGGACGATCTTATAGGACTAGTAATAATATAAGAACTTGTCTAAAGTATAGAAGCTATACCCGTCAAAAATCAATATCCTCTATTTGCCTTATATATGTCGATATATCTGATTATGGAAGTACTTGATATATTTCAGGCTTAGAGCATCGTTTATATACCTAGTAGAGCTCGTAGCAAAGACTAATTCGGTATCCAGATCATTATTAAAGTATGCCTCTACTAGGATCTCCCCCTTTAAAATAAGGAATAGTATAATTGCTTCGCCCTCTAGCGGATATAGTTTCGATTACAGTAAGTGATTCTCGATTATCGGGATCTGCCAAATAGATAGCTTTCGTATTAAGGTATATAATAATGATCTTTCTATTCAAAACGCCGATATAAAAGCTCGTTTCATCCATATTCCATACGTCTTCAAAGTAGATCCCATATTTCTCTAATATCCCATAATACTCCGTAAAATGCTCTTCCAGATCCTCCTTTCAATATACCGCCTTCCGCTCTTATACTAGTATCTTTGCGCAAAGGGTTTTAAACCATGATTTATTCCGTTTGAACCATCGTTATACCTATAGGCGGTTTACTTGGTAGGTGGAAGCGCTGTCCCCAAGGATCTTATTAGCCGCCGCCTATACTATCTTGAGATTAGCTCTATGGCCTAAATAGATTATAAAATCGATAAATTGCTTTAGGGCCTCCTCCTGATTAGGATTAAGGACCTTGTTGAGGCCCCCTTTAGTGTTTTGTGGTATGCGGCCAGCCAAATGCGCTTTCCAGAGGCGTAATTTGACCCTGAATTAATACGCAATCGTAGATTTTTTGACGTATAGGTTCCTGGTATAGAAATCGGAGGCCTGGGCCATCCTTTTCTCTTCTTCTGGGTCGAATTTGGCCATGGTATTAATATTTAATTAATTAAAATCGATATAATAGTAAAAAAAATGACCGTATCGCTGATTTTTGACCGTATCGCTGATACGCACTAAACCCGCAGGGACGTAGGGGATTTAGTGCAAGTCCTGACGCACGATTATGGAAGGGAAGCAGACGAGAAGTTTCGGGGTGGCGGGGAAAAAGTGGAGCAAAAATAGATTGACGGAAAGAAGGAAACCAAAGCTCACGAAGGTCATCAAAGCACGTTTGGTACTGCTCCTCTCTCCTCGCGGAGCAGGATGTTGAGAAATGGGGCAAAAATAGGGCTTAAGCAAAAACATACAACAGCAGGTATTCGCTGGTGGTCACCCACCCAACTACTAATCTGCCGATCTGAGGCTTGTGTATGGCAGAGCGGACGGGATGCCCAATTCTCCTCAGTCTGTGGTCGTATGTACCAGTCAATTGATTATTTCATCATCTATGCCAAATATCAAATTCGGATTTTCTCGTTGCCGCTTTTTACAAACGTTTGCCAATCGAGAACGCAGAATTGGGCACGTGGACCTGGAAAAGACCCGTTACCTAAATTTCGGCCGATGGCGCCTCCCAGCTGGGCACGTGGACCGGAGTAACTAAGGCTGAGCCGAGATCGAAAATCGCGGAAATGCAAAGGCGACACAGAAATGGCCTCTTGCCATGTCAACAAAAGTGCGCAGCTGAGCTGAACGGGTACTGTACGCGCGCAGAACGGAAAAGTCTCGTCGACGAGCAAGAGGCTTTCTAGATACAACCAACCAATCAAATCCTTCCCTGCAAGTCAGCTGAGCCGGGTGTCGACCTTGGGCATCTTGAACTAGCTAAGTAATAAAGCTAGGGTCACGTGCTTGCAATGTAAACCAAGTAAACGATACTGAATTGACTACTGTTCTACAGTGGTAAGTAGCCCGTATATATAGCCCTGAACCCCCTAAATCACATGCACTAAATCCCTATACCAGCTGAACCGATTCCAGCTATACAGGGTATTCCAGCTGGACAGGGTATTAAGCTAGTACACAGCCCCATGGCGTTCGGTTCCAGGGCTTACTAAGCCTATTGGGGGCCTCAGGCCCCTAATTTCAACAGGGCACTGCCCTGTGCATCGCAACCTCATTCAAAACCCAGTATCACAAATAAGACTCCCTATAATCCAACTCGGAATCTATCTATTGTTGCCGATCATCACCTTTCAGCCTATCGAATCGAATATGCCAATCATCGAGAGTGCTGGGCAATATGGCTGGACTTTTGAGTCACCCAACCCCTGGGGATCTAGTACGGAGCCAGAGGACTATCCGTGGCTTGTGAACCAGGAGAAGATAAGAGCAAATCGAATATTAAATCCGGACCATAGGCTGTGCGATAATTGCAATCAATTGGACTTCACCGCCCTTTTCCGTATCATTCTCAACGAGACCGCGATCAGATGGAAGGGAAAAGAGGTTTATCTCACTCTCGGTATCAGGCTTGGAGGAATGAAAGATATCGAACGCAAGGAGAGCCGTTGCAGCTTCTGTAGGCTAGTCTGGCAAACGATTTCACCCAATGCTACGACTCAGGCACTTCGCCACAAGGAGGTTGACCTGTGGCTGGACAATTTCGCGATAACTAGTAACGGTAAGATTATTCTGAGAAACTATCAGGTTAGACAAGGACCAGCTATCATTCAACTAGAAGTATCGACAAGAGAAGGAACGGCTACGTGGGCTTGCTTTTCGATATTCACGATCCACGTCTTGCCGCAATCACCGGTTGCGAACCCAAAAGACAATGAGTTTTGGCGCTTACTCAAATGGCTGGACTCTTGCGAAGAGTGTCAGCATAACGTGCCACTAAATGAGGAAGAATCATCTCGGGTAAATATTCACGAAAAACTTCAGCTCTACTCTAAAGTCATCGATGTGCACCGTCGCCGCATTGTCAAAGCTCCAAAAGGCTGTCGCTATCTGGCGCTAAGCTATGTTTGGGGAGGAATGAATTTGTCATTGCTCACAAGAAGATCCGAGGCTCTCTTTGAGCAAGAAGGTAGTATTGAGCTTGGACAATTTCCTAAGACAATATGCGATGCCATTGAATTATGTCGAGAGCTCGGGGAGAGATATCTCTGGATTGATTCAATGTGTATCACTCAGGATAGCGAGGACAAGCACAACCAATTAAAGGTTCGTTACAGTGTCCCCTCTGATCTTACAAATTTTTAAAGAGCCAAGCTCCTAGAGCGTGCCTCTGGAGCGGCGATCAGAGTTCAGCTCTCTGGCTAGCTCTGAAGCCAGCGTTCGATTTTCAAAACATGGACGAAAACTTGAAGCTAACATGCTGGTTAGGGAATGGAAGCCATCTACCGAGGAGCGGTCTTGACTATTGTTGCTGCTGCTGGGGATCATGCCGATGTTGGACTTCCAGGGTTCAGCGCTGAAAAGTTCCGCTTTCGACAGGGCCTGAAGGTCATACAGGGGTTGACGTTGGCGAATATGTCGCCGAGTTTTGAACAGTCTGTTGATTTATCACACTGGAATACGAGGGCATGGACTTATCAAGAGCGGCTGCTCTCACGTCGTCTAGTTATCTTTACTAAAGATCAGCTCTACTTTCAATGTGACCACGGCAGAGCCCAAGCTGATAGTGGTCTCAACCCTCACGATCCCACGCACGTACGGTACTTGAATTCTGGTGACGCTACAAGAAACGAGGCTTATAGAATCGAACTAAGGGAAAAAGTCAACATCAACGTCTACGCTCAGATGGTCAAGGAATATTCTAGTCGACAACTCTCCTTTGTTTCTGATATTGAAAATGCCTTCGGGGGTATTAACAAGCTTGTCCATATCTTGTTTGGCAGCTCCGAGGTCGTCTTTGGGATTCCCATTTCAGGACTTGCTCTAGGACTATTATGGACATCCAAACAGGCACTTAAACGACGATCGCCACTTTCTAGCTCTGTGGAGGTAGTTAAAACCGCTACGGAAGATTGGCCTACCTCGTCATTCGCTCAAAGGCTTCTTCAAAGAACACCCAGACAACTAGGTCCTATGCCACCTGGAGATAGGTCCCGAAGGGTCATTATGAAAGGAGAGCAGCGAATCGGTTCAATTGTGGAGGAGGAATCTGATATCCAGTCCTTCGCTGACGAAGACAAGCTAAATTCTCAAGGCTCGCTCCCAAATTCTGATGGCTTCCTCAGCAGAGCCAAGGCATTGAAAGCACGTATCTCTGGCAGGTTTGGCCGGCCAGCCCTACCTCCTAATTCTGCACCAAGGAAGCGTTGCATCTTCCCTTCCTGGTCATGGATGGGATGGATTGGCCCTGTTGAATTTCTCGAGATTAAGAATTTATCCGAGCGCACGATTTCGAAAGTTGAATGGTTGGATCCTCTGAATAAGCTGAGAAAGCTACCTGATGAGAATTTCGCTCCACCATCGGCTGAGTGGACGGGGCGAGAGGGATGGTTACGACAAGTCCTTATAGACGGTCAGATCTGTTATACGCAAAAAGGAGGAGATCGCCATCATTGGTTCTGTCACCCGATGGAACCTTTCTTCCATAACCCAATACCTATCAATCGAGATACTTGCTGCCTACATATCAGTGGAGATGTTGCTAGATTCCAGGTTGTGTCTTCAAAGAATCACCCCAACGACCAGAGATACCTTCAAGTTCTCGGAAAGCGTGCAGCTCATGCTGGGACAATCATTTTGGATGGAGCAGGTTCAAAGTTCTTCTCCGAGATACCTCGCCAATGCATCCTGCTCATAATATCTCAAACAACCCTGAAGGAAGGTAGGGAAGATCCAGCCTGGGATGCAGAGCGTGCGGCTTACAGTGGCAAACCTGGCTCACCGGCGATTAATGCCGCGAATATGGCCATTGCGGGTGCAGGAGAGTGGTTCGATCCCAAGGCATATGATCCAAGCCTTTGCTGGTGTCTGTACAATGTTTTGATGCTTGAAAGTGTTTCCGCGGGCCGGCTCAGCAACAAGTACGGCCGCATTGGGATTGGAAAGTTGCACATTCGTGCTTTAGTGGAAGTGGCAGAGGAGGATATTGACAAGCAAGCCATTGAGCTCTATTGACCAACGATATTTCAGAGAGGTATTTGGGAAGTAGCCAGAAGATGATATTGTCCTTTTCATAGCTGTATTTTCTACTACCGCTTAAGTTTCAAACAGTAAAAGAATACAAGATTGCATACAAAGTACTTTAGAGAATAAGAATATTCTCTAAATACTTCCGAGAATCGAATATCGAACTATAGGGCTTAGCTAGCTTATAGTGCTTTTCTCTTTTACTTTAGAAGCCATTCCTAAGGAGATGAAATAATTTTTCAAAAGAATAATTTAGGAGAAGGAAAAAGTTAGGAGAAGGCAGAAGTTAAGGACTAAATCAATTCTCACAGTAGAAGAGCAGTAATATATTAAAAACATCATAACTTAGGTCCAGGAACTTGACTTGACTCACGAATAATAAATGCTGACACTTGTAAAACAAGAACCAAGAACTGAGAATCGCGTTCTCGTCTATGCATTATGTAAAGACTACGATTTCACCCCTTAGATCTAATAAACTTTGAGTCTTTGAGGCTGGAGTAATTCTGGACTACTGAGACAGCCCAATTCTCCTTAGTCTATAGTTATATGTGGTTAACAATCCCTTAATTCAATATATATTATCAGTATTTTATATTATAGCACGTGACTTTATTCACAGAGCGGTGGGCCAGACTCATATCCGGGGTTTCATAATTGGTTCCTTGGTTCTCAGAACCGGATTTGTCGTTGCCGCTTTTTGACAACACTCACCAATCGAGAATGCAGAGATTCGAGCACGCGGACTTGCAAAAGCTGCTCCCTAAATCTCAGCCGCCGGTCTCTTTGGACGAGGTTCGGGCAGGTGAATCGAGTAGTTGAGCCTCGGATGAGATCGAGATCGAGGATCGAGGATATAGAAGGCTGAGAACGGGGTGTCTGATTTCAGACTTACCTACTCGTACCTTGGAGCATATAAAATTGCGTTTATCATGTCGTAGCTCTAAAGATAGTAAGATCTTTAATCGCAACTTAAACCCGCGCGAGTGGCCTACACAGCCCGCTACGATATTTTGCAGTCGCTTGCGAGTGACTGGCTGGTTTTATAAGTTTGTACTAAATTAGAGGGTGCATGCAAGAGTACTAAAGATGGATATAATTAAGTCTAACTACAAGAGTAGATCCTAAGGATAGAATGCCTTCGATGACCTTAGTAGCGATACTACTCTCATGCAAAATGCGGTCTATAGTAGCCGAGGCGCATTGTAAGCTATATAATAATTACAAGTTAAGGCTAACCTTTAGGACTTATAGGAGGAGTAAAGGCGGCAATATATTAAATAGGTCTATTATTATATTAGTTTAAATCTTCTTAGATTTTGAAAGTATATTATTTATAATTATATAATTTAAAAGTAAAAATAAAGTTATAAAAAAGTTCATATTTTAATAAGCTAATTTAATAATATATCTTTATTAATTAAAAAATATTAATATAATAAGTTATATAAATAAAAAAGAAAAAGAAATATATACTTTATTTTTATAATACTTTTTTACTTTTAATATTCTTTAAACTTATAGTTTTATCTTTAATATTTTCTTTTATATAAGATTAAATAATAAAGTGTTATTAAAAATACGATTTAAAAAAATACTTTAAAATTAAGAACTCGAGACTAGAGAAAGAGTATATTTTAAAGAAGTTAAGAGAGAAGAAGGTAAGACAATAATTAAATATAATTAAAATAAGGTATATTATATATTAAGTATAAGACTTAGGCCTTTCCTTAAATCTACTACTATATTATATATATTATAGATTATTGAAATATTGAAATAATATTAGTTATATATATTATATTATATATAAATTAAGTTTTTATATATAATTAATATTAATATTAAAATAAGTTTACTTTTAAAAAATAATAATTATAACTTTTACTAAAAAAAAATATTACTTATATATTTAATTATATTTTAATATTTATATTATTAATTATAATAAAATATACATTTTAAGCTAATTACTATTACTTATTCCTATCCGAATAGTGCTTAAAATTATATGATTTTCTTACTAAAGCGACGTTAAAATTAAAAATTAAAAATTCTTAATACTACTGAAGCCATTCGGCCTTTGACCTTTGATTCAATTCCTCCAAGGTAGCAGGAAAGCCACTGATCGGAATTTTGTCCGGTGATCCAACAAGCTGCACCGCCAACACTTGATACGAAGCACTACCCCCTTGCGGCGAGATTTGAAAGTTCAGTCGAAACTTCTCCGTATTGCCCTCCTCAACAACCATTTTTGATGGTCGACTACTGCCTCCAGAAACATCTCTGATGGACCTCCAACGACCATTCGTCAGCGCTTGTATCTCAGGAACTTCTGCTTTTGTGACCGTGGCGTGCCAAAATCCTGCAACCTTTTTTTCTAACAGAACGTGCACCGCTTGGCTCTCGTGCTGAAGGCGGCATCTCACCGAGCCACACAGAAGGATGCCATCATTCGGGACGTTCTCCGGATCTGGTTCGAAGAAGAAGAGGTTGGCTATCAGGACGTGGCTGATCTGTTCGATGCGAGCAGCTCCAGTGGTTTTGGCCCATTCATCCACAGAGTCCAACAAGTGCTCGAGCTCTTTGTGATGATTTATGTCTACGTAGTCCCCAGCTTGCCCCTGGATATCGGGGTTCAGACGATGGAGTCTGGCTTCCACATTGCCATTGCTGCTACGTACAAGCTCGGCCCAGATCCTCTCCGTGTCCATCTGGCGCTCAAACATATGAAGGATGGGAATAAAGACGCCGTATCTTATTGCCTTCGGGATTTTTGGCTTTTTCTTTGTCTGGTGGCCAGTTCCCAGGGAGAGAAGGATGTCAAGTGAGGTTCCCTCGTTTGGCCAGAGCTTGCCCACTTCTTCAATTGCCACTTTTGCTGGACAGTTTGCAAAGACTGCTCCGTCGATGTAGTCTGCGTTTTGCTTCCGGAAAGGCGGAAGATAGAAGGGGGCAGCCGAAGTTGCAAGACCTGCCTCCCAAACCTTCATGTCTTTTTCTGCGTCATCTTCTCGCTCGAATCTTGTCCAGTTGCCTAGTGGTCGATTGTAATTTGCGATGATGCATTCTGTTCCTCCTTCATCTCGCGCAGTGGTCACTGCAACACGAGTTGTACTTTGAAAGTTTCTCGATCTCGCGGGTGCGAATAAGCTAGCCTCTCCGAAGAACGTGGAGAGTTCGCTGGCTAGAGGAGCTGCCGAATACTCGCTTTCGTACCTCCCTAGAATCAACAAAGCTCGGGTCATTCTATTCGAGAAGGTTCTTGATCTTCCAAAAGTGGCGTGTGCTGCTTGCTCGAAGAATTTGATCATGGCATCTATCGGGTCGCTCGACATCACAAGAGCAAGGGCAATAATTCCACCTAACGAAGTAAGTCGGTGTACAGGTCCTAACCTGATGATATTTATAACGCACCTGTGCTTGTCCCAACTATGAGATCAAACAGTTCACGGATTGGAATTCCCAAACCAACCTCTTTCTCAAGACTCCGAAGCAATGCAAGTTCTACAATACCTCTGATCCCGCCCCCATCAAGAGTAAGAACTCTGGCTCCAGCACATCTTGGTTTAAGTTGTATTTGGTGAGAACCGTTGTGGGTATGAGTTCCACAGAGTGTGCAAGCTGACATATCGAAAGCACACTCGAAAGAGCGTGAAGGTTGCCCAATTTCCTGGACACAGCGCGGACAGTAAGAATGACCGCAAGGCAACACGTGATCCGAGACTAACTGCAGACATGACAGACATGTCTTGTTGCTTCGCAATTTATTCCATACAGAATTGTGTTTCCTGTGAACGTTCTGTCGGAGCTCCAGGATACGCTTGGAATTTTTAGGGGGCGACTCTGGTCGGCTGCCAAATACAGAATTGTACATCTCCTTGAATTTCCTCTTGATATTGCGGAGCCACTCTTCCTTATTTGCATCGCTCCAAGAGCGTCGGTATTCAAAATCTCCCTTGATTTCTATCGTCTTTGTAGACTCGGTTGTTCCTGGATCGAGGGAGCAGATGTGATTTTTGTGACATGATCTTCCTCGCACTGTGCAGTGAACTGAACCTCCATCTCTAGTAGAGAATCTAAACGTACACTTCTCGTATTCGGATAGGTACATGTCGACGCCGCTCGACCAAGAGGGGCCCAAATCATGTTCGAACATATCTGAGGGGTTCAAGGCGGATGCTTTGAAGGTCAGACTTGAATGGAAAATGAGGTGAAATGATAAACTCACGATCTGAGTGACTCCGTCGGACATAAAGAAGGAACATTAATGAAGCGGCATCCACAATCATGTCTTCGATTACGACTGTAGTCTCTTCTGTGTGTTCCAAAGCAAGTCTCAAGAAGTTCGCTATGTGTTGCGATATATTCCGTGGCGTTGGATTATCGCGCCGTGCGGCAAGGTAGAAATTCAATGGATCTTCCGATGTTCTGAAGTGCTCGAAGACCTGGGTCAGAATGTGACTTAATGTGGGTACGTTGTATTGAGCAAATTCACGGGATCTCAACCTCTGCTCTTCCTCTGCCGCAATCGTGATTTGTTGCCGGAGCGCTTTGAAGTGGTTGAATACCTCCTGGGCACGTTCTGGAGCGACGCTATGGAGACCCTTATCTGGAATGTAACAGCACTCGATCTTCTGGAATAAGGCATCGTAGAGTTGGTCATTATCCTGGATAACCAATTCGGGGCGCACTAAGAGATTGTGTTCCTCGACGAAACTCTTCAAGACAGGAGAGTCGTCCCAAAGCTTTTGGTCCCCGAAACTGCGAAGGTAGAGTCTCTCTAGCGTTTCCGTACTGTATTCCGACTCCGAAGATGCTCGCTCCATGTTCCGGACAATGATGAGTGTTTTCCGTGATTGCTGGTTATATGACTTCCTCACTGCGGTAGACGCCCATTCCAAAACTCGAATGAGATCCACCTTGATTGTTTGGTCGCTCTTGGTGACGAAGACGACAACATCGCTAATGGCGTACAATATCCGAGCGTAGAATAAGTCAATTCCGTTCTTGCTGTCCTTGCTGTAACAAGGAGCGATGATCGGGAGCTTGATAATTCCAGGTTTGCCCGCTTCAGCGCTTTCATCCTCTTCTTGCCGTTCGGTGAGTCTCATGGCGTTGGTGGTCGCGGTACCAGCCCCGAACCCTTCACAATCAGCAAAGAGCAATGGAAACCGGGCTACTTGCGAAGATATTGCTTGTGGGGCATTTGGACCAACACAGGGTCCTACCAACCCTGTCGCGGGGTCTTCATCTGGATATAGATGCACTCCAAAGGTTGTCGGGTCTGTCATGTGTTGGGTATTTCCAGATCTTGGTACGGGCATGTAACGGTCTCCTTCCTTAGCTTCCCTGACCAGATCCAGACTTTTGGCTACTGAGTCGTTGCTCATTTCTCCCGAAGAGCTAAGAAGCCCAAGTAAAAGCATAGCCCTGACAATCGTTGATTTTCCGGCAGAAGTGTTCCCAATGAAGGAGACAAAAGTCGGGTAGTGGTTCTCTGTATCTCGGTTTCCTGTTCTCCCAGGATCACAGAGTCGAATGAATCGATCATATAGCCAAAGCTCAGGGCATTCCTCGTCCATCTTCACTGAGAACCAACGGGCCAATTTATCTTTCTCGTGAAGACGTTGCAATGTTTGCTCATTGCTCTCTGAATGCATCACTGCTTCCACAAACAACGAGGGAAAGGGGTTGGCCATTTGGTGGCCTGCTCTCTCGTGTGGAGGAAGTCCGGTTACATGTTGTTTCCAGCACGTGGGATGCTCCCCGCAAACTGGTTTTGAGCAGTTGTCTGTGTCACAAGACGAACAATAAAGTTTTGTCGTTAAGCATCCTGTACACTTCCTTGCATGTTTGGAAGTGCCATAGAAAGAAACGGGCTCTCGGCACCATGTGCACTTTAACTAGATTGTAAAGCGTCAGCTATTCAAGTCTTTTCAAGGGGAGTACCACAAGTTGCTTAGACGGATAATATACTTCTATTGCCGTTGAGACTGCCATTTCGAGAGCAGCCATAGTCTACGCTATAGATGCTTAATTAAAAGAGAGTAATAGCTAGACCACGCTATAGCAAGGAACGAATAGAGCAATAATGTTCGATGTTTGAAGTTTAAACGTCTCTCCGGGGGGTGTCTACGGCCCCATTAAGATATAACGAGCCATGATCATTAACATTCGCCGAGGGTAAGTAAGCTAGTTCGAAAAGAGTCACCAGAGTGTGCTCAAAAACCTGCCTATGCAATGCCCACTGCATGTGAAACAAATGTGGAGAGTGGGGGGTGGGACACTCCTCATAATTGGTAGCCGCAAAGAGGGCTGAGATTAGGGCGAATGGTTGGGCGACACATCATGAGTCAATATTAGGCATCGGTACCAATCGCACCGGAAACTAACCGAGAGCGGTAGGCTCCAAGTTACGATCCCCGGTGTTCCGTTCAAAGCCCAGTGAGGCTCAAATCCGGGCTCGAAGGCTTGTGAAGATACAGAAGGTGGAATAACAGTTGGGGATCTCCCAGAGAGAATTCTATAACTAAGAAGTTCATAATGTGTGCATTGTGGAATACTGTCGTTAGCAATCTACTAAAACCTCAAAACTACGCAAATTATCTGTTCGGATCATTCAAAAAGGAGAACAAAAACTGTAACGAAACTTTGCGAACACAGTTCTGTGTAACTAGTACTTTTCTTGGATATAATGGTTCCCTTTCACACAACTCCCCCAGCACATGCCTTTCTCCATAACAGAACCCTTACATCTAGATCGTCAAACTACCCGTGGTTGAAGTTGTTGGCCTAATAATTCGGCATTCTTCAAAAGATGTTCCCACGTATAAGTTTGTCTCTCATCGTCGTATTGACCATTAGCAAGAAGTGATATCTCAGTAAGTAGAGACGAATTTTACCACCTCTTTATCTTGTAGGAGCGAAAAGTAAAGGGAGCTGTGTGTGAATGATAGACAGTCAGAAGATGGAATATTGTAGAGTAGACGATCATGGTGTTGGTTGTACGAGTCCAGGTGATGCCTGGACAGGAGTGAGGTGTTGGCGCGACAGAGGTTGCGATCCTTGGCTGAGAGGAGATGGGCGAGGATCGTTGGTAGGACTCGATCTTATCCATTCTTGTAGTTCGGTGGCCCGAAATTCGTCTTTGAGAAAGTAGTGATCGTCGAAATCAGTCGCAGCCCACCATCCCGTATGGTGAGACGTAAAGTAGTGCCTAAAAATATAGACAACAAGTTTCATGAAATATAGAATCGCCAGAGTAGCAAAGAAAGTGTAGCCAATGCCTGCGGAGGCATCTAGCAGCTGGTAGCTTCATCATCACCGTTAGCGAAACTCAGGAGGCGAAATTTCTTACTGAGGGGCATACCCAAAACGCTGTCCTTTTGTGTATTCAGGGTGCGGCATCTTTGAGTGACCATCGAGACCAATTGTAGTGCCACTGCCGTTCGATGTTAGAACTTGCTAGCCAATCGGACAGAGTTGACATACCTAGCTAAGAGACCAGTAAGAAGCATCCCAATAAAACCACCTCCTGCGTGGACAGCGAAAACCTGTAGCGGGTCTTCTCTGAGGAGGATAGAAGATTGTTTCTTCAGCCATAGGACAAACAAGGCTGATGTAGCACCGAAAATGGCAGCGCTCCAAACAGGGACCTGGAAAGTTAGCCTTGTTCGTACCTAGTAGAAATGAGCATAGTTACATATCCAGATGCAGGAGTAATAGCCACAAGTCCTGCAATCGCACCATCACAAAAGTATATGACAGTAAGATTGTCATATGCTTGCTCAGGGCGAGATTCCTCATTCAGCCAAGCGAAAGTCTTTGAGTACCAGATCACCAAAATTCCCACAGTACCACCAGTACATGCCGCTACGTGTGTCGACGTCCAGGCTGAGACGGCTCGAAGATTTCCTCCTAGGGCCGACCCTCCATTAAATCCTGCCCAGCCGAACCAAAGGAGAGCAGTTCCAAGAACCAGATAATTCAAGTTGTAGGGCTCGAAAGGCACCCCCCGTTCCTCCTCCTCCTCCTCCTCTTCTGCCTCATCTGAGTGCGAGCCTGGATCTTCAGGCTGCTTCCCCAAACAACACGCAACGCACATCACCAGTGTGCGCCATATGTCAACCCAAGGTCGGGCGATTCTCTTGGAAAGCTTTTTGATAAACTTCTTCACAGCCTGGACAAAATCTTTGAAATTGTTCCGCCTCTCAATCGAGCAGAAAATGGCGAAAGCAGCTACCGTAGTACCTGAAACGATATGCACTGGCGTACCACCAGCGAAGTCCATAGTTCCATGTTTATTTGACCAGCCATCTGGGTCCCAGGACCATCTCGCAACAGGGTCGTAGACTACTAAAGACCATATGCTGATGAAAATGAGAAACCGAGCTGGACGAACTCTGTGCATGGTTCCGCCACAAACTAAAGCAGCACTTCTACTGTCAGCCATATGTAATAACCATAGAGACCCAACATATATATAGCTTACGTGAAGGAAGCAAACATTCCCTCGTACAAAACATATACGAGCTCAGGTATTGACGGGCCATCGACGCCATCACCCTCTCCAATGGGACGAGCCAAAACGTCAGTCAAAGCAAACGCCCTAGACTCTCCACCCCACCAACTTGCTGGTAGTATAGATCGTGTGAAAGTAAGGGCATAGCCCCAGAACACCCACTATATTCCGTCAGACAATCAGCCAGTGTTGAAGTGAGGTTTATTTGGACTCGGCGAGGCTAACCTGTAGACCAACAAAGGCGCCAGTGACGAGGGGCAGACGAAAGAGCGTCAGAGCGAAAGATCGATTGCCGATGCCAGCATAGATGAGTGACAGAGAGGGGATCATTAAGAAAACAAGGGCCGACGAGATCAACATCCACACGATGTCAGACCCCTATAGTGAAGAATGTCAGCTTAACCAACCAGAACACCACTAGTTGCAGAGTTCCTACGAGGTAATATCTCTCGGGGTGCTCGAGTACATCGCTATACGCGACCGACACGCTCAAAAGCGTGGGGGCAGGCTGAGGAGCATAGAGAGTGACTGTTTCCATGCTTTGACGTTTTGGCTTGCCGACGAAGCTTAATCCACGAGGAGATTTAAGTAGTCCAGAGAATAGTTGTTTATTGAAAGGATTGGGGAAGAACTTTGTAGAGGCATGAAAGCCGCGTCAAGGACCACACGCGATCTTGTTCAGGCCTACTCCGTATGCCTTGTGAAAAGCCTTGTCCATCACGGACAGGCTGTGGCGCTGTGGCACATAGTAGAGGGTCAAGCCTCCGCTTAAGTCTTCCTGTTCGGAACGTCCCGAGATGCGAAATTCATGAGGCCGCGCGACTGGGGGCTGGCGTCCCAATTGTCAAGGATTCGGTGAACGGATTCGGCATTGACTCAAGCCCGGGAAAGCCCCGTGGGGCCGGCCATGCGCTATCCCCAGCTTTGCGCTACCCATGGGTTTGATGGGTTGATGGTGGCCCAATCAGTTGTGGGCAAAACGCGCTGGCCCAGTGGCCCTCCTTTCAGCCTCATACCTGCAACTTGTGCTCGAGTTGAGATGGCCTTTCAGGGCTCGTCCAGTTATCTGTGGCTTGGCACTTATCTTTCGGCGTTCCAGCTGACGTTGCCTCGTTAGTCACCCGCTTGGCACGAGGCTGCAAGAGAGCAGCACGATGAATTCATGCATCGATGCCCGCGGCTAAGGTCATCACCGTTTCCAGGTGGAGGCGCAGCGACACAAGCTCTCAAGCTCTCGCAATGTTTTCGCAGAGGCTTTACAAGACCAAGCGACGACGTGGGCGAGGTCAACTTTGTCTGAAATGGTAGCTTCGCCACACTCGACGGCCGTTTCCATCTCCGCCTGGTTTCCGACAGAAATAAACGCTGCTGCGAGGGCATCTGGCGCGCCGATTGCGACTGAGAGGAGCATGAGCCTTCTTAGGGGTATTCGGGAGCACGGTGGAGCCAGCCTTGGAACCCAGTCATAAAATCAACTCCATGGAAGCCTTCTTGGCTTTCGCGAACCTCTCGACCCCTAGGCTCGATTATGGAGACACCACATACTATCTGCGGGCGAATTCTAATACCATGCCCTGATGAGAGAGTTGTAAACCCAAGTTGGAACAACGAACAGGTCGGCAAGATCGCAACACAATCGCCACTTTTCGAACGACAAATACTGCGACTTCAGCAAGACAGCAAATACAAGTGGACAATACATTTGAAAGACACGGATGATTTTCGTAACGATGAATTTAGCGCGTTCATTGCTAAGCTAGGGCAACCATGCGAACAGTCCACGGGCATGGGAGTCGAAAGGTTGTGCAGCCGCTGCAGTGCTATGTGGTATTTCCAAATCGTTCCTTCAAAAGTTCATCTTGCAACATTTGCCACAAATGCCGAAGGACACTCAATCGCTTCGGGTTCTCAGGTCTCAACAATCTCATCTGTGCCCACTCCTGCATCTGGGAATTCAGCATCTCGAGTAGTAACAAGCTCCGAAACTTCAGGCAGTGAACGAGAACGTTGGTGCTGGAATAGCAACGGTGATCACACGTCTCGGGAGACTTCTCTGAAACTGGCAAACGTCGCTCTCGTTCTCGGCTGGAAAGAGGTGTTTAAGAAGGAATTAAAAACAGTGGTATGGAACTGGCCCCAAGAGACTCTGGGAGAACCAGATACGCCAATTCATTATCTGCAGAAAGATAGCGCGAAAGGACTGAATAGTAAGTCCCGGCGGGAATTCGACGGTGGAACTGGCAAAAGCTGACTCTCACTAGGGAGGAGGAAACGGGAAATGAAAGAGATTAGAGATTGGTTTGACTCGTACCAAGCGAACAATTCGAAACTCCCCCAGAAGGTCAAGGAGACCCTACAAGAAAAGTGTCGCAAGGAATTCGACGACAAGAATCCATACTCATGGATGATATCACTGCAAAACACGCTGCTACCAAGTGATAGGCTTCCCCGGCACGATTCCGCATTATCTCAGCAGTCTGCAGCGCCGGCAAAAATCCACAACCACCACCACCACCGCGGTGGGAATCCCTCAGGCTCGGGGGCCCTCAAATACTTCCAGAAAAAGGCCATACAATGGTCAGATCACCCCGAAATTAAGAAGGCAGTGGAGGAAATGCTCACAGGAGCCCACAACTACATTGAAGAGCGACAAAATACGGTGGCAGAGAAGTTGTGGGTTTGGAGAGACGAACAGGTCAAGAGCTGGGAAGATGTGTTGGAAGAGAGATACCCCAATGAGACACCAAATAGTGTGGATATACAGGCACCGGCAGCAAACGGGCTCGGGGAGCAACCCCAGCCTGCGCCGGAAGGTAGTTTCATTGGAAACAAGTTGTTGGATCAATGATGATCGTGATTCAAGGCTTGAGGGAGGACTGCGTGTCCGGCTAGGAGCCGCGAAGCGCTTGCCGGACCCGTGTGTTTTATTTTTGCGAGAATGATCAAAAAGCTGTTGGCACTGAAATGTTTGGAAGGAAGGATGGGGAGGGATACGGCTGTAGATAGACCTGCAGAGGTGGTAGTGAAACGTAATGGGAACGCTGTCGAGCCGTCTTGGCGGGCGCACAGCCTGAAACTCAAAATCCTCAACGGCAGGGATGAGCCGTGGTCAGCAAAATGTTCCACACCTGGTCTAAAATAAATAGCCCTTGTATTAGTACTGTGGTAGAGCTGGGAGCTGTACAGTAAAACTTGGTGTGCTTAGCACCTGATCACGTGGCGCTTTCCACCCCTTCTCAAAAGACGTCTCTTTATATAAAGTAGCTTAGAAGTACATGTATATACATAATATTAAGCTTGTTTCCTTATTTATTAATAATATTATAAGAAGAAAATAACTAATTAATTAAACTTATATAAATATACTTAAGACTAGAAATTAAAAGCATATACGGGAAATAATATATAGCAAGCAGAAGGAATTATAAATATAGTAGTAAGATATTTACTTTAATTTAAGAGAAATATTGTAATATATACAGGATCGCACGTGACCCAAGGGCATGTAATAAACCTCGGATATTGCGGGTATTAATTAGAGAGATTAATAGTCCTCTAATATTACAATTATATTACTATTTATATTATAGGCTTTAGGCTTATAAATTACTAAATATATATATATTATTAGGAGCTTTTATTTAGAGAAAGCTCTTCTAGACCTTATAAAAGAAATAGAGATTAGTTCTATACTAAATTTAATACTATAGTTTTATAACTTACTAATTTATTCTATTATCTTATTATTTATTAATAAATACCTTATAAATTAATTTCTCTATTTTTAAAGAAAGCAGTTTAATAAATAATTATATCTCGAAATCTATAAAATATATAACCTTTTACTAAAGCTATTTCTATAAAGGAAGTTAATTAAATTAACTCTAATATAGGTAATAATAAAGACTTATTTAATACTTTTAATAGGGCTTCTTAGAAGCCTTTAAGAGCCAGTAATAATAACGAAAATAATTCGAGTAATAATTAAGATATTGAGATTAATACTTAAGTTATTATTATCTAAACTATAAAATAGGGCTTATATATTAAAATTGAAATACTTTAATAAAAGCAAGAATTAGTAAATATAATTAATTAATATATCTTATAATTAGAATAATATAAGAATACTTTTCGAAATATCTTATAATTTACTATATCTTATAAAAACTTTATTTATAAGTCTATTTTATTTTTCTTAATAATTTTTACTAGAGAACTTCCTGAAATAGAATTAAAATCTATTCTTTTTTCTAATATAATAAGTCTTAAAAGTAATCTTAATACTATTTATTAGAAGCTATTATATAATATTCTGAAAATATATTTGAATTAAAAGAAGCTTTTTAAAATTTAAATACCTGATTTATATTATGGAAAGTCTTTTAAAAATTAGAGAATATTTATATTTTCTTAAAAAGTAATTTTTAGAATCTAATTTTAAACTTATAATAGATACTTTTCTAAAGTTAATTCTATTATAAATACTCTTAGAAATAAATCTTATAATACTTAAGAAATTATAATAAAATAAAGCTTATTATTATATAAGATTTATTAGAAGTAATTTAAGGCTTATTTAACTAATATATTCTATATATCTTAAATTTATTAGTAAAATATCTTTAAGAAATTTTGAGATCTTTATTAAAAGAATAATAAAATAATTATCGAGTTATATATTTGAATAATTAGTCTCGAAATTAACTAGAACTTATAATAGCTAGTATTATATAGTTGGTTTTAGCTAAAGGAATTGGTTTTAGTTAAGGTTCCAAGCTATAGTTCAAACCAAGCTTGCTTTTAAAGCTCGGCATTTCAGTAGTCTTGGCTATATTTACTTATCTACTACTATATCTTACTTCTTCTCTCCTTAGCTTTAGATTCTATAGGATATTAGAATTATAAATCTTTATATATTATTTCATTGCTTTATTTCTGCTATTATAGAACTCATATTTTAAAAGAAATCGGATTTAAACTTTTAATATTACTTTATTTAACTATAAGACTTATTAGATATTTATATTTATTTTCTTGGGAAATAAGGTAATATCTGTTTTTAAATAGCTTAAGAAAGCTTAAAAAGCAAAATATATTATTTATTCTAAATTAAAGAAAATAAAAATAAGAGAATCTAGTAAAAGTAACTTTATTTCTAAGAATTCTAATTTAGTAAATTCTAATTTATAAAGCTATTAAAAAAGGAAAAATAAGTTCCGAAAATTATATAAGAAATCCTTAGATAATATTTTAGCCCTTTCTAGGCCTTATTAAAATACTAGTTCTATTTTAGATATAATTTATTAAACTTATAATTAAAAAGATTTTTTTATTTTTAGAAATATAAAGTATTTTAAATATAATAAAAAGATTTAATAAAACTCTAATAAGGCTAAAACTATAAAAGAGTTAAGGTATTTATAAAAGCAGATTAATGTTATTATTATAAAAAAAAAGTATTTTAAAAGAGATTCTTTTAAGAAATAAAGAGAAAAAAAGCTAAATTTTAAATATTAATAATTTTGGTTATAATAAAAAAGATATATTATTTTATATAACTATTTAAGTAAAATTAATATAGCTAGAAATAGGTATTTTAAAAATATATAATAAACTCGATAATATTAGATTAGATTATAATTTCCTTAATAATAATTAGGCTTAAAACTAGGGCTTTATTATTTTAGTTAAATATAACTAAGAATTTATAACTTTTTATAAAAACAAATTTAAGGCCTATTAAGCCTATAACTTTAAAATATTTATTATAGATAATTATAATAAAATATGTTTTTTTAAGTTCTAGTTTTATAAATATAAGAATATTTGCTCTTATAACCTTATTTTTAATATAAAATTTTATAAAATAACTCTTATATAATATATATACTTATATTACCTAATAATATTAAGATTCTAATACTAAAAGAGTTTAGTAAAAAGCTTAATTTATATTCTAAACTAATATCTCAAGTCTTATTTTTAATTAAAAATAAATGTAATTATTTCAGATAATAGGCTTTATATATTTATAATAGTTATTAGATCTTTGCTTTCTTATATGGTTTTACTAATACTAAATAAGAGTTTTTAATATAGTAAATTAATATCTTTTAAAAAGAAGCTTTAGAAATACTTATATATCTTTAAAATAATAAATATAATTTTTTTTAAGGTTTTTAATTCTAATAAAGCTTTAGAACTTTCTAATCTTAATAATATTAAATATTCTATTAATATAGATAATACGGTTTTATATAGACTTTTATAAAATTTATTAAAGATCTAATTAAAAGTATTATATTTATATTTATGAAATATATTTTATAAATATTAAATAAGGCCTAGTAAAAGCCTTATAGAAATATTTATTCTTTTTATTTCTAAGAAAAATATAGGGCTATACTTTTATATTAATTATTATAAACTTAATTAAGTTATAATTAAGAATTAATATTTGCTTTCTTTTATTAATAAAACTCTTAATTAATTTCGAAAAGCCAAAATCTTTATAAAGTTAGATTTTAAGAATTTATATTATTAGATAAGAATTTATAAAAGATATAAATAAAAAATAACTTTTAGAATTCATTATAGCTATTTTTAAATACCTTATAATACTTTTTGGGCTAGTTAATATATTAGCTATATTTTAAATATATATTAATATTATATTTATAGAATTCTTGAATTATTTTATAATTATTTATTTAAATAATATTCTTATTTATTTCCGAAATAAAAATAAATACTATAATTATATTTACTAAATACTTATTAGCTTATATAAAAATAATCTGTTTTATAAACTTAGTAAATATAAGTTTAATATTAAGGAAATCGAATTCTTGAGCTTCTTTATTAAAATAGAAAGTATTTAAGCAAATTCTAAACGGGTCTATAATATTATTAAATAGCTAGAACTAGAATTATTTTATAATATTTAAATATTTCTTGAATTTACTAATTTTTATTATAGATTTATTTACTATTATTTTCAAGTAATTATAAGCTTAATAAACTTTTTAAAAGAAATAAAAAAGAACCAGAAATCCGGTTTCTTTATATAAATAAATAAAGTAGCTAAAAGCTTTAAAACTTTAAATAAAGCTTTTATTATAATATTTATTCTACTTTATTTTAATTCTTTTAAAAAGATCTATATTAAAATAAATATATTAAAATTCGCAATTATTAGTATTATTTTATAATAAGTTAATTCTAATAATAGCCTAAAAAAATACTAATATTTAATAATATTTTAGTTCCGAAAACTTTTTAGAGTCAAATATAATTATAATATCTATAATAAAAAGCTATTTATAATTATTAAAGTCTTTAAATATTAGTATTATTACTTTAAAGAATTCAGGTTTATAATTGAGATTATTATAGATTATAATAATCTCTAATATTTTATAGAAATAAAGTATTTAGAGAGCTATTAAATATATTAAGTAATATATTTTATAATATATAATTTTAATATTATTTATTATAGAAATATCTTAAATTTAATAAATGAATTTAATAAAAGGCCTAATTATAAAAAAGGTTTTATTAATATAACTTGGCTTCTAATTTTTTAAAATAAATTAAAGAAAGCTTTTACAAGTATAATTTAAAGGTTTTTATAAATATCTAAAGAGTTTCTTCTTTAAAATAAGTATTATTTAATACTTACTATATTTATAGTAACTAAAAAGAAATATTTATTATAAGATAAATAAATGAATTATTTTATAAATTCCTTAATTATAGAATTAGTTAAAAAGCAAAATATAGAAAAATGCCTTAAAGGCTTTATTATTATAATTAAGGTAATAGAAATATTTATAACTATATTATTTAATAAAACTAAAAATTCCTTAATTTCCCAAGTTTTTAAATTAGATAATTATAAATATCTAATTTCTTATATATAGATATATATAATTATTAAAAGAGCTATAATACTAACTCTTTTATTTAAATTTCTTTTAGATATTATTTAAATAG